GTTGCCTCCTGTACTCACCTCAATGAGGGTTCAAACCTGCAACCTAGGTATGTGCCCTGACTGGGAATTAAACCCGCCACCTTTTGGTGCACAGAATGACGCTCCAAACAGCTGAGATGCCCACCCAGAGCAAATACATGTTTTTAAAAATTATACAAATGGTAAATTAAGTAGGATAGGGAATAAAAGTAATGCAGATTTAGTGCTGAATAAATTAAAGCTTTCAATCTTATAATATAACCTTAGGTTTCTCCTAAGGCACTGTACATCAGGATAAATTCACACATATAAAGATGAGTAGCAAAACAATAACAAATCAGTTATCCCTCAATTTTTAAAAATATATTTTATTGATTTTTTACAGAGAGGAGGGGAGAGGGGTAGAGAATTAGAAACATCAATGAGAGAGAAACATCGATCAGCTGCCTCCTGCACACCTCCTACTGGGAATGTGCCCGCTACCAAGGTATATGCCCTTGACCAGAATCAAACCTGGGACCCTTTAGTCTGCAGGCCGACGCTCTATCCACTGAGCCAAACTAGTTAGGGCTCAATTTTTTTTTTAAAGCAACAACTGAACTGAACTGCATTATTTGTAGCCTGCTAAAGAGAGTGAGGGATTTTTTTTATTGTCAATGGCTGTATAATATAGTAGTCTTTGAGAAAATATTTTAAAAATAAAATCACCTGAGAATCACCAGAGAATCCCTCTGGTGGGAATTCTGAGGAGAAATAGGAAAGCAGGAGAAATGGCAAGAAAGGGGAGTAAAATAACTTTCTTCACAGTCCAAGCAAATGGTACTTGTGGTATCGGGTCACAGAACTGAGCTGTAATTTCAGCAATAGGGATAATGAAGGTTTTGCAAAACTTGAGAATACTAGATAACCCAGTGGTTCTCTGCAAAGATCTTCGATGCATCAGCAAGTAACAGATGAGTTTGCTTAAGGATGATCTCAATTCGAAAAATCATTGACAACTTGGAACTGAGACACATGCAATCTCTGGCCCATATAACACTTAGTGCTTTCCCTCCAATAAAATTAATCAGTATAACAGATATTAAGTGACATCTATCATTTGCCAGGTAATATGATTATTAGGTACATAAATGAAAAATATTTGATACTCAAGGAGTCTTGAATTTAGTGGGAGACATACCAGCAATTCCAACCAAAACATTTAAAAATTGACATACTGGCAGTATGCTAAAGGTCTACTACAGTGGTTCTCAACCTTCCTAATGCCGCAACCCTTTAATACAGTTCCTCATGTTGTGGTGACCCCCAATTTCATTGTTACAAATTGAACATAATTAAAGCATAGTGATGAATCACAAAAACAATATGTAATTATATATGTGTTTTCCGATGGTCTTATGCGACCCCTGTGAAGGGGTCGTTAACCCCCAAAGGGGTCGCAACCCACAGGTTGAGAACACTGGTCTAGTGGAATGTAAGAGGAGTGCCTAAGAGAGGAGGAGGGGGAGCGCTTCTCACATATATGATTTTAGATCTGACTCTTGAAGGAGACATAGAAGTTTGCTAGGCAAAAACAGTTAGAAGACATTCTAGGTAGAGAAAACAACATATGTAAAGGCAAGAAGAGAAAACATATCAAAAGGCAAGAAATATACAACAGTATAGGCCTTGCTGCCTCGCCTCAGGCTCAGTCAGAAACAAATGGGACACTTGAAATATTATCTGAAAAGGGTTTAACGAAGTAACTATTTACAGAAATGTGGGAGAGGTCAAGGGCACCAACAAAGGATGGTGAAGCTATTCAGGGATAGTAACAGTGGGAAGCCATTGACCACCTGGCCACAAGGGGCAACTGAGGGGATGAAATCTCCAGAACCTGGTGAAAGCCGCAGCCATGGCGGGTGGAGCTACCCAACAGGAGCCTTGATCAGAAGCAGAGGAGCACAACCAAGTCACAGCCTGGCTTGGGGTTGGGGAATGTCCTTACCGGTTCTCCCTTCCAGTCTCCAGCAGGCACCTCCCACTGGCTGAACCCCACTGCAAGCCAGACGGCAAGGGAGTCTGGGAAAGCTTTCTGTAAAGGGTCAGCTTCCTGAAGCCCAGAGAGTGGAGACTAAATCTGGAGATGCAAAAAATCACTTGCATAACCGTGGCCAGTGTGGTCCAGTTGGATGAGTGTAGTCCCGTGCACCAGAAGGTTGCCATTCAGAGCATATGTCCAGGTTGCAGGCTTCAGTGTGGGAGGCAGCCGATGTTTCTCTCTCTCCCCACTCCCTTTGTCTCTCCCTAGAATCAATAAAAACATTTCTTTTGAAAAATCATTAGCATACCTCATCTCACTTCCAAACAATTTTCTGTTTCTTTAATAGGGATAGCATAGGACTATATACTAGCATATAGCAAGTTTGCCCTTGTTTCTTCTCTAGTAGAAAGGAGCTTATTTAATTTAATGACTGAGAGATACTCTTAGGATCTGGTTTGCTAGCAACCTCTGCCCTTCACCAAATCTTTCTGTGTGCCTATTTTTTTAAAATATATTTTTATTGATTTCAGAGAGGAAGGTAGAGGGATAGAGAGGTAGAAACATCGGTGATGAGAGAGAATCATTGATCGGCTGCCTCCTGCACGCCCCACACTGGGGATGGAGCCTGCAACCCAAGCATGTGCCCTTGCCCGGAATCGAACCTGGGACCCTTCAGTCTGCAGGCCGACGCTCTATCCACTGAGCCAAACCGGCTAGGGCATGTGTGTGCCTATTTTTAACCACAATGATATAATAGTTATTCTTTCATATATTTAAAAATAATAATCCTAAGACAGTGTGAGATGCTTATTTGTCTATCTAAAAATAACGTTTGTTGTCAGTGGTTGTTCACTTAAGACACTATATACTGGATTTATCAATTCTAGTTAAATCACAGTAAGGTATCTTCAAATTTTATTATGGTGCAACCTGTCCTTTTACAACATTTTTTTTCCTCTTTATTTTTCAGATCAATAACTCGATCTTATTACCGCAACTCAGTTGGTGGATTTTTAGTATTTGACATTACTAACCGCCGATCTTTTGAACATGTGAAAGATTGGCTGGAAGAAGCAAAAATGCACGTACAGCCATTTCGGATTGTATTTTTGCTGGTGGGACACAAATGCGACTTAGCTTCAATACGTCAGGTTACAAGGGAAGAAGCTGAAAAGCTGTCGGCGGACTGTGGCATGAAGTATATAGAAACCTCAGCAAAAGATGCTACCAATGTTGAGGAATCCTTCACTATCTTGACAAGAGACATCTATGACCTTATCAAAAGGGGAGAGATTTGCATTCAGGATGGCTGGGAAGGGGTGAAAAGTGGTTTTGTTCCAAATACTGTGCATTCTTCTGAGGAAGCAGTGAAGCCCAGGAATGAGTTCTTCTGCTGACTTCAGACATGCCAAAGCACCGTCAAGAACAGGTGGACGTCGTTCCAGGATAGAGACCACCATCAGCACTGTTTTGTAAGGTGTCTGATCGAGAGCACTACGCTTACGTGTTACACTACAAGACTCGGTGTTTTGCTAAAATATCAGGCAAAGCAGACAACTTTTTCTTGAAACTATCAAATTACCCCCTTTCCTACTTTGTTAGCTTATAGCTGAACTAATGTCCAAATATGTCAATATTACTCATTTTTCTTGACAGTTTGAAATGGGGTTTTTGCGCATATAGAGTCTGATTGAAAAGGTTTTACCAGGAATTATGTTCTCTTGTTCATTTACTAATATTGAATAGTAAAGTGATTTAAAAGTGCACTGTTTACTTACAAATTGAACAATCTCAGAGTTATCAACTAGACTAAAATAGCAGTTCCTTGTTTAAGGTACAGTACCAGATTTTTTAAACATTTAAAATATTTATCTTCCCTTAATTTTGCCTAAACATAAAAAATAAGTTTTATACTTTTTTGTTCTCTGATTTATTGCTCCTGAAAAGTTTATGTTTTATGAAGCTATATAAGGATCCAAGCAAAATACTGTATTGCAAATATTTATAAAGATAAAAACAAAGGACCACTTATCAGCAAATGTTTTGATGTTATAGCATACTGTTTTAGACAATAAAAAGAAATGTATTTCTATACTGACATTTTCAAAAAAGTAAATGCAATTTACCTTGAACTATTGTCAAAATTACCATATTTTCCCATGTATAAGACACCCCCATGTATAAAATGCCCTCCACTTTTCCAACCCCAAATTAAGAAATCAATATTTTAAACATTTTGCTGGTTTTCCTCATAAGGCCTTCTTCTTTTTTGGCATCTTAAGGAGTTGTTCTTTTTGTTTTCTCCACTGTCTGATCATACACTCAGTGGGAGGAGGTCCAAATTATCTCTCTGCAGCTCTATTTCCATGCACTTTTGCATAGCTGATTTCATTTGAATTTTGCAGAGTAAGACAATCGCTTACCAGTATTTATCTTTTTGTTTTCTGACATCTTTATGGGCTCAGAACACTCCGGTCCCTGTTGCATCTGCACACTCTCCACCTCCATCTCCAATTACGGCATCAGCTGACATCGGGAACAATAAGGCTTGTGAATGGAGGAAGCATGTTTGACAAGGTATGGGCAGCTATGCACCTGCAGGCTCCCTCCTTGGCTGACTTCCATGTATAAGACGACCCTCAATTTTCAGTCTAACAATTTTAGAAAAGTATAGCATCTTATACAGGGAAAAATACGGTATCAATATAGGTAAATATAGAATGTTTTTAGTAACAGCTTTTTTGTACAAGTAAATTTCTAAATTTCCCCATTTCCAATACAAGTATAGGAAAGATTTTTCTGGTTAGATGTTAGATACATTTAGCATTCAAGTTATATTTTACATCTCATCAGTAAAAGTAAAGATAAAATAATGAGTTAAGTCTGCAAAATAACTTTTGAGTTTCCTAATTTTGAACTTACTGGTTAAATTCCCCTCCTGGAAGGGACATTTTGATGACAGTCTCAAATATTTTATAGCATACATTTCTGTTCTGTAAACCATCCCTATCACAGAGTGGCACCATGACGTTGACTTTTTGGAACAATGAGGTTCTTACTGTTAAACTGTAGTAGCTTAATTTTGTTTGAAAACCAAAGTGGTATGGTGGAAAGAATATTTAAGGGGGAATCAAAAACACTGGGTTCTAAGCTTGCTTTTACTGTACTTTGTCACTTAACCTCTCTAAGCATCCGTTTTCTCACCTGTAAATTGAAGCTGATGACCCATTTATGGAATTACGTGGAGAATCAACTGAATCATGTGAAAAAGCTTTGTAAGTTGAGAAAGCAGACTACAAATGTGGGATTGGTGTCAGCTGCTCATGGGCATGCCGTTCTATTGACAATGGATAAGAATGTGGTTTTCTCTTATTCTTTCCCTGCAGAGAGAAAGCAGGAGGTGCATGTTCTCATGGACCTGGGGGAATTCTTGGTTTGATGAGTACCCTCTGCCCTCTTATCCTGAAGCACCACTCCTCCAAAGAGCAAATGCTAGAAAGGGAAATCCCAGGAAACTTAATTGAAGCAAAAGTCATATTGGAATCTAGTTTTTGTGCATCTTCAAGGTAGATATTATATTTTTAAATACATGTACATTTTCTAGGTTCATGTAAGTATTTTTAATAGTGCTTATGGAGAGAAAAATATAAATTATAACATCACTATATAATTTTTGAATATTTATATTGTCAACATTTTCTTGATAGCCTTAGATTAATTTCATGTGAGTTCACACTATAATTGACCAGATAAGAAAATACCTGTCCCCCCAAATGTGAAGTAATCTATTTTTACTGTTAAAAATTTAAATCTTATAATTTTTCATCAGTCCAAAATGGCATAAACTCAAAAAGTGAATATCTAACAAAAGGTGAATAAAGTTAAACACCTAAAATATAAAATGTGATTTAACTTTCAATGGACACATTTTTTAATACTAATATTTGGGCTAAAGGGTATGATCTGTTCCAAGATTCAGAGTATAATTAAGGAATCAGAAGAAACAAATGGGAAGGCAGAGCCCCAAAAGTTGGTAACTACCAAGGTCACACGTGAGCAGAAGCAAGCCTAGAACGCTGGTTCTCCTTACACCTTAGTCGGTATTCTTTCCATTGCCATGGTGTGTCAAGTGTGTATGTGTTTGTGTGTGCAGTGGAGAAAAGGGGAAATGAGAGCTAAATCCACAAAATACTAAAAATTGGGCTAAATCATTTTGAGGTTATAGAGGAGCTATTTATGGTAATACAAGATTGCCAAACACGTATATAAACGTAGCCAGATATCTTTATCCAGATATACATATGTGTATACATATATAAGGATATAAAATAGCTGACCTATTTTCTTACACATCATTATACAGAATATGAATAATAATGCCAAAATAGTAAAAATATGTGTTCACAACCAAAGTGTCTTAAAAGTCATATATACATAAATTAGATACAATTGAAATTATTTAATTTACAATTTATTTAATTTAAATTTAAAAATTTTTAACTACTGAATGATGTAGCTAATTACTAAATATTTTAAATAAATGTGATTTTAAAAAACAAAAAACTATCCAATCATATGATACACTTGTCCCTGACAGAAATTGCTCATCTTGAGTTGAATTAACACTTTTAGTGCAAGTGATGATGTGATGGTTCATTAAATGAGAAGCTTAAGCCAAAATGATTATGTAATCAGAGTGCTTTTAAATGGGACCTTTATATACATAATAGTAGCAAACAAGATTTCTTGAGCCTGGAATCTTGAGAGTTTACTCTATGATTTTTGTGTGTGGCAACCAAAGCCATCTTTATTATTAAGATAACTTTACCAATCTATCCAACTTTGCAACATCAAAAAACGGAATCTGTGGATTAATAAAATCATTTTAAGAGTGCTTTTGTCAGATTTTATGTTGCCCTTGGTTCAGTTAATTACAAAGCTTCCATTGACTTCAAAAAGTGCACTACACAGGTATTTGAATAATTTCCTTAGGTCTGACATAGTGAGAAGGATTTGAAAGACTAAAGGCCCATTTCATAAGCTAACTCGTTTTTCCCAAGTAACTGCCTGGAGAGATTTAGTTGGAAATGCAAAGAAAACATGTAATCTTTAAGAGGAAAAAAAAAAGATTGTAAAGGCTTTAAATTTAGATCCTTTGTATTTTAATATAGAATACATTCCCAACTAGAAGTTAACTTGGAAATTCTATAGCTGAAAAATAGCTCTCTCTGCTTCAGAATCTTTCTAAATCCAAATGTATTTCTATAATCTTAATAACCAATGAAAGTAGACACATGAGTGATGGGCTATGACAATCTCTATCAATCACTACACTATCTAGTTCACTTACTACATGTAATAATGGGGGGAATAAATGAAAATTTTTTTTTAAGATTTTAAAGATTAGCCCTAGCTGGTTTGGCTCCTTGGATAAAGTGCCAGCCTGTGGACTGAAGGGTCCCAGGTTCAATCCCCTGGGCATGCACTTTGGTTGCCAGGCTCCAGGGCGGAGTGCGGGAGGCAGCCAATGAATGTATTAAATATGTCTCTCACATCAATGTCTCTCCCCCTCCCTTCCACTCTCTAACAATCAATGGAAAAATATCCTAGGGTGAGGATTAACAACAACAACAAAATACTTTTAAAATGTTCCTTATTGTTATCTCTCTGGGTAAATTTTTTTGTCTTTTTTTGAAATAGTGCCTAAAACATTGTGACATTCAGTAACTTTTAATTGATAGTTATTATATTGAATTAACCCTATTAAATTTTGGTTCCTTATATATATAGTTTTAATTTATAGATGCCATTCCATTCCATGAAACAAACATGTTTTGCTAAAATCATATCTTGTCTTTTTTTTAGAATGACAGCCAATAGAAGATATGGTATAAACTTTTTTGAAGTCTGTTATTTGTGTTATTTTATTTTAAATAATGAATAAAAGAATGAGAATGAGAACTATGACTGTTACATTTTCCATCTTTAGTGAACCATCTTTAGTGGTGCTTTTAAAACAATCAACTATTTAACTGCAATTAAATGCATGTGTTTGTATTCACAAATTAAGTGCAAATAAGAATCAATTAAACAGATGGAATTTCTTATATATTACATAATAACTTTGTGGACTGTGGGTTAGAACCCCATAACCAAATATTAGTATACTAGAAGGCCAGCGCAAGAAATCTCGTGGCCCCACCCATGGCCCCGACCATGGGCCTGCCCCGTTTGCAGCCCTGCCCACCCACACTGGTCTTTGATCATTACAGTGTTAGGGGCACAGGCCTTTTATAATATAGACTAGAGGCCGGTGCACAAAAATTTGTGCGCTCGGGGGGGAGGTGGGGTCCCTCAGCCTGGCCTGTGCCCTCTCGCAGTCTGGGACCCCTTGGGAGATAATGACCTGCTGGCTTTGGCCTGCTCCCAGGTGGCAGAGGGCAGGCCCAATCCTTAGGTGCAGC